TTTAAGAGTTACCTTAAAACAGAACATGTTTTAAAGGCTTACATTTAAATCCTTTGTATTATAATGAGGTTAAATTATAGTTTACAATATGTTTAATATGTGGTTAACTATTATTTACACAGGAGGAAACAAAAGAGTAATGTTGTTGATAAACATGTTGATACACTGGCAAAATTGAAGAATGAAAATAATCTATTGGACCTACAAGAGGAACCAATCAACCTTAGACACTTGTTTTGGACTATTTGTAACTTAGAATAGTTAGTATAGGGGCGTCGGTGGCCGCAACGGTTTAGGCGTTGACAAGGCGCTCATCAATGTAAGGTAAATGTCCCGGGTTCGAATCCAGCGCCCTACATTCGAACCTGACATACTTACAAATGGGCTTTTTTTTCAAAAACACCGGCACCCTGAGGGTATATATGACCTCTGCTGTTGCGAACTCTAGTAAAAAATTAAAAAATAAAATAATATTATTATACGTGTGTGACCATACCGGGGCTGCATACAGTAATACTGATCTAATGTAAATACAATAAATTATGATTATTTAGAGATAGTGAGATGCGGTCTGGTGTGACGTAGGTTTTAGAAAAACATTTTCTTTATCGTGCTACGTTTCGATCTTTATTGAGATCATCTTCAGAGCCCAAAATGTTTGTAGATGTGTCATTCTTGTCTGTCGTGTTGAGAGTGCCCCAATAATCATTAATCAACGGTCACTAAACACTACACATAATAAAAAAAAAATTTCTTTGTTGTGCTAAACTTTGAGTTCTTGTTTAAGAGAGGGAATAAACTGCAGATTATACCTAATGCCTAGTCACACATTTTATTAACGTTCTTGGTGAATGTTAATTTCCAAATTTATCCATAGATATTTTATTTCTTTAATTATTAAAAAGGTTATTTTTATCTAGGATTTTAGCATGATTTGTCAGGAATGTACCCGGTCATTATGTCTTTTCACTCGGATTTTATTACCCAATTGTTTTAGTACACTGTGCGATATGGGAAATGCGAAGATATTCCCAAATTTCTGTCCGTTCCTCTTTTTCTGTAGATATAAAAAGCGATTACTCGAAATTCTGAGGCTATCGGTCCTGGTAACAACAGCAATTTCTGAACGGTGTTCGCATCCCGATATCCGCGATTCATCGAGCCTTTCCGCCCACGCGAGACCAATGATGGATTACGTTTTATTATGTGTGAAATATCCCCGACCTCTTCGTGACTGACCCCGGGCCCCCCGGGCGGTTTACATTTGCCAAAATTCTTATCTGTCTTTTTTATTTTGCCGGCTTGTTAACAAGGCTATTTCACAGATTCAAACATGCCGCCAAGCCAACGCTTCCTTATTCCACTGGTAATGTGACCGTAACAAAGAATAACTACAAAAAATAATCAGACAATAAAATTAACTTCACTAGTTTTCATGGTCCGCTTGACCAAATAATATTTATATACAATATATTATATATATATAACCAAATAATTAAAGTTTATTTACTTATGCTGGTTAGAAAAATAACGAAATTCAACATGTTTATGATAAAAAAGGCACATCGAATACGGGTGGATAACCAACTGCAAAAGCTGGTAATATTTTAATAAAATTATTTCCAAAGTAGATTAATTGGAATCTTTTTAAATCTCGTTGTAAATCGTGCGGAATTAAGAAATAAAAGAGACCTGCTCTTTTTGCTCCGTAATTCTTCCTTCTTTTTTCCTCTCTCTTCCCGAATTCTAATTTGCAAGGAAGCCCCGGCGGAGGAACAACATTACAATCCTGCTCAGATATTACTTAATCGAAAGGTGCACCTGGGGCTTGCAAAACAACGTTGACCTAAAAGGGTCAACTTGGTTGAAAATTGGCTTTCCATTAAACCCTTTTCCCTGTTGAAAAAAGAACAACTGCAGTTTATCAAAATAAAATGAAGCCCCTTATATTTTACCGTTCGTGGATATACATTTAAAACTACATTTCAATTAATTAATCTGTTAAGCCGCTGCTCTCTCACTTAAGCTATCGTGACTTCGATCCATTCGGACAGAATTTCCCATCTCAACACCACCTTGTGAATTTTCCCTCCTTTTTGCCAATTGTCGCCGAGAATCAAACACACACGACATTTGAAAAATGGCAAAAAGGAGGGAAAATTCAAAAGGTGGGGTTGAAATGGGAAGTCCGAGCGGATCGAAGTCACGATAGCTCAAGTGGTAGAGCAGCGGCGTATTTAGCCGAAGGGCCTGGGTTCGAATCCCGCGTGGGACACTGACTTTTTTATCTCAACCAATACCTTAAATACAGATTAGACAAAATTAACCTTTAAAAAATAACATACAACTCAAAGAACTTGAATCTACTAGGAACTTAGAACGTCATTAAAATGTTACGTTTAAGAAATTGAGAGGTACATCATAGAATATTAGTTGTTGTTTTTTCTTCCAATAGTTCAAAGTTGGGAAAGACCAGTGGGGAAAGCTCTCAGAAAGCTTCACTTGTTACTGTATGTTTTCCTAACCTCTTCAAATTTAGAAGCTTTGATCACAAAAACTGCCAATATTAAACTTTAAAATCTGCATTTCGAAACTAAGAAACGTAAGTCAAATTTAAGCGTTTTGAATTAATTAAAAGCTAACAAAGGAAGGCGGTGGAAAAAGAAACCAAGTTTGTAGACGTGTATCATTTACAGTTGGCAAGTGAGAAGTAATCAATCTGTTTATTTTTACCAATCATAGAGTTGACAAGAATATGACATGTAAAAATCTGTAGTAAGTAAAAGAGAGTTTTTACTAATCACCAAAATCTTCAAATTGTGAAGCATCCCTCAGAAAAACTGCCAATATTAAACTGTAAAATGTGCAGTTGAAAAATTCTCTAAAAATATAGGTCTACTTGGACAAGATATGTCTTGATAACATGCTAGTTTGTACAAGTGAGTTTTACATGTCTCCCTAGGTTTTCCTCAGTCTTGCAACGTTCGAAGCATCGATCATAGAAACTGCCGATATTAAACTGTAAAATATGCAATTGCAAATTTCTCTAGAAATATAGGTCAGCAAGGGCAAGATATTAAACGTTGTAAAAATCTGTTAGTAACTAAAAATTTGTTTCGGTTGTATTTGTTATCAAATTAATTAATCGTTTGCATGGTTATTCTTGGTATTGTCCAGCTAAAAATTTTAAGAAGTTGAATAGGTAAGTAAGAATGATATTATTGTGATTTCGTTCGGGTTGACACCCAGACCTACATTTTCACACCACATTTCTTCTAATTTGTATTAATTTGTTAGTTAATGGAAAACGCCTGAGTGGCTAGATCACTAGGCAACTTTACAACTGCACACTTTATAGTTTAATATTGGCAGTTTTTCTGATTGATGCTTCTTAAATTGAGGTGCTGAGGAATATCTAAGATGATTAGTAAAACTGACTTTTATTTAGTAGGAAAATGTTACGATATGTGATGTCTTGTTGTCTCCATGACTGGTAAAACAATCAACATTACTAATATGTCACAATTGCAAACTGTCAAAGCCACCATTGCCTTCCAAGCTTTTAACTGCTGGAAAGCGCTTCATTGTCTAATTAACCTCCATTTCTAAAGAAATTTTCTGCACATTTTACAATTTCATATTGGCAGTACATCTGATGGATGCTTCTTAATTTGAAGGGCGGAAAAAAGCTTAGAATGACCAGTCAACCTTTTTGAGAGCTTTCTCCTCTAGTGCATCCCAGCGTTCAACTAATGGAAAATGCTTAAATGACATGTACGACACAAATTTTAGAGACTTTCTGCTGATTTGAATAGAAATAAGAGAAATATTGCTTTCTAATTCTACTAGAATATCTAACAGAATTACAATAATTCACTTGAGCTTATATATTTTTGACGTTGTTTAATATTAGCGGAAGTGAACACAATGACTGCAAAGAGATTTCGAGGTTTGTGGAGATCCTTTTATATTTTGTAATGACAGTGTAAATAAGGGGTGAGTATGAGTTTTTTATTATTGGCAAGGTAGAACATGACCTGTAAGGTATCGACGTAATGACAAATGCCTTCATGATTCCTAAGAACGGGATATTAATGACAATCAATACTCGTACTACGTTTCTAGAGAATTTTTCTGCATATGTTATACTTTAATGTTCGCTGTTCTTCTGATCGATGCTTCTTAAGTCGAAGGGCTAACTGGTAAAGCATTTTGAGAGCATCCTCCACTGGTGTCTCCTAACTAAACGTAATGTAGAGGATTGACTTATTTTTCATCTTTTTCACTTATGCTACTTACTTCCGTAAGGTTAAATTTCTTTTGAAGAAATGATCAGTAAAGGTAAAAAGATTATCTGCCACTAAAATTTTGAGTGTCTGGCTTGATATAAAATTCAGCATACAAACCAACAAATGAATCTATAAATTCCTGTGACTTATGTATAGATTTGTGAATTCACAGACATCAATGGACTAATCTGTATACTTCAATTGCCCGACAGGTACATGAATTCTTTTTGGTCACCACATACCAATACTAACATTCAAATCATTCAAACCAAATTCTGTAAATGTCCACTGTCTTTTCAACAATAATGCCCTGCCAACTGCCCTCATCCACCGTAAAACGTCAACTTACCAAAGGTTCTCCCATACAAATTATTCTCACTATCACACAGAATTTGACAAAGACTATTTCCAAATTATTTACAAATGATTCGATTATTATTCAATTAAAGTTTTATTTCTTACTTCTCGCGTTTTAATAACTCAATTGGACTTGTGCTTAGTATGATGATTCAGGTTTCAACAAATGGAGAACTTGCAGTCACCTGGTGCTGCTAATTTTTTTTTCTACGGCAAATTAGTTTATATGTGCATTATTTATTCGGTTATTACATGAGCATAAAATGTTTTTATACCTAAGAGTTTAAACATCACCCAAAAGTCAAGGAGCGTTGAAAACAAAAAAGTCGCATATCAAGGCCTTCCTTATTATTAAATCTTTGAAACGTCACTTATTCCAGATATACCGTCCTTGGGCAAAGCGAAACCAAAGGTTGCCGTCTAAGTTCCCAAATATAGGTTAGAGGACGAATTCATGGTAACCCCTTTGGCCACCTGTCGATCCGAACGGTCATTACGTGTTAAACGGTGTCGAACAAGGGCGGAGGTTTATTATTTTTTGTATTTTCCATTCGCCCGTTTTGTTTTCTCACGAAATCAAAAAATCATGTGCGCTATTTTACCAATCACCTGTATAGACTATCGTACGCTCACAAACAACACGGAATCCCTTGACGCGCGTTCACGTACATTTTAATTTTTCGGCACGAATGGATAACGAAAGGAAAAGCATGTTGACAGACAGGCTCCAAGAAATGTTCGCGGACCTTTTGGATTCGACCAAAAATCCTGACAGCGAAGTGACAGTCGACACTCTCAAAGCTATCATTAAAGGCGCTTTAGGTGATAGGTACGATTATTCATTATCGTTCATATCCGGTTCTTATAAATCAATAAGACACTTGTCATTACGTAGACACCTTACAGGTTATGTTACAACTTGCTAATAATAGAAAACTCATTCTCATCCCTTATTTACACTGTCATTACAAAATATTAAAGGATCTCCTCAAACTGCTAAAGTCCTTTGCTCTCTTTTATGCTCAGTTCGGTCCAATTAATATTAACCAATGTCAAAATTAAATAAATTAAAGTGAACTTTTGTAATCCTGCCTGATATTCTAGTGGAAGATAGAAAGCACTATTTTGGTTATTCGTTTGCAAATCTTCAGACTGACTCTAAAATCTTTCATCGTAAATGTCATTTTAGCATTTTCCTTTAGTCGAAGGTTGGGAAACACCAGTGGGGAAAGCTCGCAAAAATCTTTACTTGTCACTCTAGTTTTTCTTCCTGCCTTCAAAATAAGAAGCATTCATCAGATAATCTACCAATCTTTTATTACCTAGTCATTTAAGCGTTTTCCTAGTGTTGCACTAGGTTTTCCTCAAGTTTTCAAATTAAGAAACATATATCGTAAAACCTCCCAATACCAAATTGTAAAATGTGCAAAGAATCTTCATTACTGGCCTTTTCTCCTAATTTATTACTTCAGCATTTTTAAAAAGTTCAGCTATAACCGAAGGCAAGCATGATGAGATTTCAGCAATGAGAATCATTAATCAGGAGAGTTGGCATGAGCTTTGGCATGTAAATATCAGTTACACATTAGCTTTCTTTTCCATATAGATTTCTCAACCCTACAAAATAAGGACCATCCATCAGCAAAACACCCACTAGTAAACTTTAAAATCTATACAGTATGAAGGGCTAAGGTTTAGTGACGTGGACACTCCTATTCCCATGCTATCATGTGCATGGTTAAACACACAGAGAGAGAGAGAGAGATAGAGAGAGAGAGAGGGAGAGAGAGAGAGAGAGAGAGAGAGAGAGAGAGAGAGCACACATAGTGCAGATTAATATTGATATAAATTGCGAGTAAATTCGAAAGCTAACACGACTGCTTTTAAAGACTTAAAAATGGGGGTGCAATCCTTTTAACTAAATGGCTTGTTAATTTGACAAAAAAAGAACTATTAGAAGACAAATGGCAAAACAAGATTAGAAATAGTTAGTGGTGTTTTTAAACGGCGAACAAATGTTAAATTACAGATTTTTCGACACAGGTACACAGAAAGCCAATTAGACAAGGCTCTCGAGGGTCTCGGCGTTCCAAAGAACGGTGCTATAAAGGTGCACGAATTCTGCGCCCAGCTCGCCACACCGACCGCCTACGCCATCAAGCAAGTGAGCAGTCTATTCATTTATTTTCCTTTTTTAATCTACATACGATTTTATCATTTCGTGCACAGATGCGGGAGGACAACTTGGGGACATGGCTCACGGTCGGAGAATGGCAGCAGGTGATGGAAAGGCTCGGGATGAACCTGACCATGGAAGAAACGGAAAAGATGCTCCAAAAGACGAAAAAGCAGACGCTCGACGATGTCGCGAGGGAAAGGCTGGCCCTGGAAAAGATAGGCATAGACCTCACAAACGACGACCTGCAAAAGATCATTTCAGATGCCCAAAAAACCGTGAACACACTAAGCTGTAAGTACTCCTAAAAGAACAAAAATAATTCCAAAACTAAAAATATATACAATAGTCCTACTATCTTAAATAGATGCTTGACCACCCCCTTGCTCACTCCTTTGAAAAGGCTTTCTTAGGTCTTTTCACTATTTCTGTGTTTTTTGTACATATCCAATTGGCCGACATCAGCAACTTACTGCTGAATGGTAAAATAAACAAGTGAAAGCTTATATTACCTCTTGTAAATAACTGCTTGATATAGACAGTAGATTAAAATGGACAGACTATAATCAACTAATAAAGGGGCCTTATTATGGTACACAGATGGATCGAAAATTACAGGAAGTGGGGGCAGGGGTTAAAGGCCCAAATTTTGACCTAGCGTAACCGGAAGGTTCTCCAAGCTGAGATCCACCTAATTAAAGTGGGCACATATTCTCAGACACTCAAACAGCACTGAAAACATAGCAAAGAGGAAGCGAACCTTAATGACAGTACACTCTTGGGCTTGGAAATAAAGAACGAGTCAATTGCGCAAAAGATCTTTTAGACTGCAGTGGAAGAAAGGGAGCATTATCACCTGTGACCCCAGGAAAAAATATACTAACAAATTTCTAAGTCACCATTTGCCACAATGAGGACAAAAGTGAGGAAAAATTGGCCGATGGGGAAATTTTGAAAACCATTCGGGGACTACACAAAACATTATTAACCATCGAAAGTTTTATGCAAAGGTTCCCATGAAAACTTTAGAAACATTTGTCTATTTCTTAGTGACCGGTCGTTTCATAATTTGTTGAAGTCGTGAGTCGCGATCAAGAATTAGGTAGTTTAGAAAAAACACCTTTTTCATTTTTTTGCCGACGTTTCGACCTTTATTCGGGTCATCTTCAGGGCATAGCATCACATTTTATGCGTCTAACATACCCCATTGATCGCTCCTCACGACTTCGACAAATTTATAAACTTTATATGATTATATATAAGATTTTAATGCTAAGTAATAAAATCCTTGGTAATTGCACGGCCATGAGCACAGATAACTTCGTCCCATTGTCCATGGATTCTACTACATCAAATCTCATGTTGTCCTGATTGGACTATGGAAGATTTTCTTCAATGTTTATGCCGAGACACATCCAAAAGCTAAGCCGAATCCATCACTAGTCCTTACACTTCGCTAGAAGCAAAAAACCCTCCATTCCGAATATGAAGGAAAAAGTTGGCTGGAAAATTTCTTGCGGAAAGAATAATGATGACCAACCATCTTACGACCGAGTTCTGGTTTCTGATATAGTTATTCTGTAAGCTTGGACTTGCAGTCTTTGTGGTCGCAGTGGAAGAAACGGACACTATCATCACCAGTGGCTCCAAAGGAAAAAAAAAGGTGTTCTGGTAGATTATTCATAGATTTTCGAATAGTTTTATGAGTGTTTGATCGTGATTAACGATTGTGTTAATCTTTCCTAAAGCGCCTTGAATCATTTGATGACAACTTATGTCTACTTCTCTCATCTTTCCTTTTTCAATCTTTCTATTTTGTTTTCTAAATCTTGGGGGTAGCTACAAGTAGAGAATCGGTTTGGCATCGTCTCCGAACTGTCCCACTTGCGATTGCCCTACAAATCCTTCCCACATAATTTTTGAATCTCCAGAATATGAAAATGAAAGAGACAAACTGCTAAAAAATCTGAGCAAAGTCCCAAACATTTCAAAACCAATAAACTTAGAATCTGTCCTAATAAGCAACAATCCATCAGCGTTCAACATAATCTATGGATTTCTAAAGTCGATAAACGTTTCTTTTTGATTATCTTCAAGCATGAAAATTTAGAATATGAGAAGATGATGGAGCTGAATGAGTGGTGCGGGCGCGCGGCGGGGACCTGGCCCTGGTCGGCCGATCACTCACGACAGTAAAATGAAAATAGAAGAAATCTTCATGGGTAATATGCCAGCATAAACCCCCCCCCCAAAAAAAAAAACTCTTTTCTGTACATTTGCATTACCATGGCTAAAATTGAGCGTTCGACCCCGCTCCGAGGAATATCGAGTACTCTTGAGGCAAATATGTGGCCAGACTTCTATGTTTGTGGTGTATATATGTATGTATTGTATGTTTTATATCTATTCTGTAGTTGACAATCTGAGGTACAAATTAAAGGCTAGAATTTTAGAAGTTTTCGTATAAATGTAGAGAGACATTAACAGTTTGTGAGGATCAAGTAGGCTGAAAAATATGCGTAAAAGTCCAGAAAAAGAAGTAAAAACATGCAGAGGGCCGGCGATGACCTCAGATGTTTGTCGGCCCCTAAACTTCCCACATTATTATTGCATACATGCATAATTAAATTAACATATGTTTCAGCGTCTTAACTGATAAAGGATTTTTTGTTTCAGCTTCATCTGACGATAGTGAGTATGAGACGGAAGAAGAAATCATACTGTCGGAGTAAGCCTCGTATAACGTCCGTGTAAATGACTCAATACAGTGAACGTCATAAATTAACACTTCACGCACTGTCTTTTCTTATAACATTTATTTTATGGTAAAACAAGCAGGAATAGGAATTGTTGATAAATGTAAGTTTTTAAGTAATGTGCTTTAAGGCGTGAAGGTAGGTAATTGAGTATTGAGTGCAGTATAGTAGTATTTAAGCATAAACAACTTGGAATAAAGAGAGGGTAGACCATATATTACTTGTTAATTTTTACCCTATTATCACTATTCGAAGGGAGTGAAGGCAATGAAAAATTTTTTACCCGACAATTGAGGACAACGTGTTTCTACTCAGGTCTCGTTTTTCATCGTCTAAGCTTTTTCTGTATTTCGAATCTCGTGGCCGATAATAACGTCCGATTAATCATACAGAAAAAATCGAACATGTGCACATGAAAAGCAGCCAGGGCGAGACACGAGGCTGTGAAGAAAACTCACATGGTCGTGTGGCACAATCGGCCCGGGTAATCCTACACGACGCTGGAAGACGGCCGACAAAAAAATCCGATTATTGTATTTGCTTTGTCAAGAGTGAGAACGCCTTGTTCAAACAATATACGCCATGCAGGACTTCAAACGTACGTTGATGTATTAAAAAAAAGATGGAGAAGGAGAAAAAGAGCTGATACTAAATTTTCTCTCCTACGCCTAGTGGGACCAGGATGGAAAGGTATTTTCGACCCAAGGCCAGTGGGTTTACGCGATAGATATGCAATGTATGTACGCCTTTGAATTGTTGTAGCACAATAGTGTACGCGATCAACTTGGACGACCTGCCGAAATACTTCCCCCAAAGGCATCAAAATATCTACGTATCAAAAATTCATCATTTTTAACTATAGTCAAGTTTGTTTATTATACATAAAAATTAACTTAGTTTCGTAAAAAACCCACAATTTTTACCTATTCAAAACATCTAGAATTGAAGAAAGACAACTATATAATTAGACGATAGCTTAATTAAAATGTAGAGCAGTAAAAGGAACGTGGGATTTCTTGCAGAACATATTTAAAAAATGATCAGCAATATTAATGATAAGTATTATTTTAAGTAAATAATCCCTACCATCAATTCGGATTCTAAGGAAGCCATTCTACAATAGACCAAATTCCCCGAGTAACACACGTAATAGAAAAAGAAATTTGTTCTTCAATTTGCCTTGATGTCTCAAAAGCTTTTGACAAGATCTGGCACAAAGCACTCTTCAATAAGCTAAAAGAGGTGCAACCAAAGCAGTATGTAGAAATGTGTAGAGATTAGTGACCGTTAATCGATAGTTATTCAGATATCGTGAGATGCGGTCGGGTATGATGTAGGTTTCAGAAAAACATTTTCTTTATCGTGCCAACGTTGGCACTCTCAACACGACACGCAAGGATGGTACAATTACACATAAGACAAACACTTTGAGCTCTGAAGATGATCTCAATAAAAGATCGAAACGTTGGCACGATAAAGAAAATGTTTTTCTGAAACCTACATCACACCCGACCCCATCTCACGATATCTGAATAACTAGCAGTATGTAGATATTATCCGTGCCTACCTTACTGACATTTTAGAGTCAAAAAAGTACACCAATATTCAGAATTAACAACAATAAAAGCAGGAATGCCAGAAGGTAGCATACTAGGTCCTCTACTTTACTTGTTATACACCAGTTATATTCCGAAAATAGATGGAGTCAAAATTTACCGTTTGCACGTGACTCAACGGTGATATCTGTAGTACCGACCATTAACCATTCATCCAAAATATTTCAAAAGGCTCGTAATAATGTAAATATACGGTCAAAAATCAACCAGCATTCATGTAAATTTTTCAAACCGATTGATAGGATTCTATACAAAGTAAAACATTACTGCGTAAACCAGTGACAAGTCCTAAGTGGACATATAGTATTCAACTGCCAGCTTTGTACCAACTACAGGTTCATCAGAATCACTTCAAAATAAAATCTTACGTAACAAGGTCAATGCCCGTTGGTACGTAAGGAGTAAGGACTTAAATAGGGAGACGCCTGAACCAGCAAAAGAATGTGGAAGCGACTAAACTAGATGGTTAGAAAGTTCAAAAGAGCAAAGCCATTTATGAACTTATTTAGATAATAATTTTGTGAATATTGAAGAGTAAATCTTATTGTACTAGTGGGTTTATTTAATATTTATTTATTGTATATACGGGGTGGCCTTTATAGATGGCCCAATGATACAATTTTTTTTTAATTGGTCAAAAAATAACAAAGTTATGGCATAAAATTTGGTTTGCTATTTATTTATACTTTCCTAAAGGTAGATTGGGGATGAGGCCATGAAGACAGAAACAACATTTATTTTCTTGTCGAGCCTCATCCCCAATCTACCTTTAGGAAAGTATATTTAAACTGTGAAGTCTGATCAAACACCAAAGAAAATATTGCTATTTATTAATCACATTTCCTGTTCGAACTTCCTGCCTAGCGTCAAAATGCAAAGGTTTGCTCTTTTTAACCGATCTTCGCCGGTGCTCAGAGCGATAGAGCCAGGGGAGAGGAAATGACAGGAATTTTCTATCCTTCGCCGCAGTTCTTCAACTGAGGTTGCTTAGTCAAGTGGAGTTAAATCGGATGACCGAGGAGGCCAACAGATCTGGCCATGAGGTCCTATCCACCTATCCGAAAAGTGTCGATTCAAATCATGTTTCACCTTCATACAATTGTGTGCGGGACATCCATCAAGCTGGAAGATCATTCTTTATCGTTGTTGCAGAGAAACATGTTCTAATTGTGTTGGTAAAACCTCCCTTAAAAATTGAGGAACTGAGCACTATTTAAATTATTTATAAAAATAAGGCCCAATTTATTTCCCATTCCACACCAACGTTGATACTGTGGACCACCTGATGACAAGAATACAAAATTCTTGGATTTTCTTCTTCCCTGTTCGAAAAATCCAACGGTTGAATATGCCATTAGAGGTGAACTTGTATTCAACAATCTTCAAGTATAGAAGAACGATTTCTTCAGCCTCCCAAATCGGCATTTGTGCAAGGAACGTTAGACGCCTGTCATAATCGGAGTTCCGAAGTCCCTGGAAAAGATGAGAGCGATACGGCTTAAAATCGTAAGTCCGGCGTACATCTCTAATTTTATTTTTCGAAAAACCTAAAACCCTTTCAACATTTCGGAGAGCGGAATTCGGATTTTCGCGAACATAATGTAAAATATCCAGCTCCTCGTCGAAATTATGCTGCCGGTTCCTTTTTGCCATAACATTCTCATATTTTGACCAATTTAAAATCCGACTTTACCCTTCTTTTCAGCAACAACAACGTGTGTCAGGATGTACAGAATTTGAAATTAATTAAGGTTTTTTTTAGTTGAGATGAAAAAAAGTTAATGGCACGAGAGGGATTCGAACCCACGACCTTCGGCTAGATACGCCGCTGCTCTACCACCTAAGCTATCGTGACCTCGATCCACTCGGACATCAACTTCCCATCTCAACCCACCTTATGAGTTTGAAGCCATGAAAAATGGCAAAAGGAGGGAAAACTCATAAGGTGGGGTTTAGATGGGGAGTTGATGTTCGAGTGGATCGAAGTCACGATAGCTCAGGTGGTAGAGCAGCAGCGTATCTAGCCGAAGGTCGTGGGTTCGAATCCCTCTCGTGCCATTAACTTTTTTTCATGTCAACTAAAAAACCTTAATTAATTGTCATGTATTAATTGGTCAAGCGGACCACGAAAGTAGTGAATTAAGAATTTGAAATTTTGAAATTAAACTACGTTACGTTGTTAAAAATTTGTGTATATATATATATATATACACACACATTTATAAATTACCTTAGCATGAGACAGGATATATATATTTTTTTTTTTGAAATTTTCTTTGGTATCATAACGGTGTCTATTTTAAAACGACTCTAATTCTGTTTACAAATGATTAATTGAATACGAGTTTTATGTGAATTTGTTAAGTTTTCATTCCTCTCATACAATATTTTCTTTTCACTTTATGATTTCAGTTTAACGATGAAAATAGATTATCGACCTGCTGGATACAAGAAGTTCTTTTCAGAGGATCTTCGGAAGAGGTCAAAACAGAGAAAACTTCCTTACGGTTTTCGCCGAGCTTTCGACAGTTTTATACTGTCATCTTCAGGGCTTTAAAACCTTAATAGGAATTTAAATAACATGGTGTTTTGGGCACAGAAGTACAATGATTTTTGTGGCTCAGCATCTCATTATTAATTTAAATTGAGAAACATAAATAATTAAAAATTATAGGTAAAATTACAATAACAATAAAATTAAAAACGTGGTCAAGAAAGGTTACCTCATATAAGTCTAAAAAACAGGTACAAGTGATCACAGAAAACGTTTTTTAACTATATATATATATATATACAATCAAATTATTTTAAAAATTTAAACAACAATAAAGTAGGATCACAGATCAAATCAATAAAGACCGATAAAAATAAACTCTCTATGAACGAGGGGAAATTTTAGACTTATATGAGATGCTGAGCCACAAAAATCATTGTACTTCTGTGCCCAAAACACCATGTTATTTAAATTCCTATTAAGGTTTTAAAGCCCTGAAGATGACAGTATAAAACTGTCGAAAGCTCGGCGAAAACCGTAAGGAAGTTTTCTCTGTTTTGACCTCTTCCAAAGATCCTCTGAAAAGAATTTCAGTTTAACTTCAATTTTTTTAAAATGTTAATATGGTTCATATTCGACAAAGATTGACTTTAAAAGAAAGAAAAGAAGTGTTTTATTTTTACGAAAGGGTTGGGTAACCACGGACATTAGCTGATAAATTGAAGATCAGTAAAGCGGTAGGGAAAAAAAACGCTAGGAGGGAACATTTGTACATCTTAATATATACCTTACATGTAGTATTTGCACATGTACATACACAGACATCTATGAGTTATTAGATGATTAAACCTCCCGAAAGATGACAAATAACAGTTATAAATACATGAAATTTTTTCTTTTCAATTATGAGTTCAGAAAGTTTGTAATGTGATTGTTGATAAGAAAAAAAAACATATTTGTTATAACAGTAATTTTCTTGTTGGTCGGGAAAAAACTGGTGGTTATTTAATTTGCCATGTTAAGATGAAAGATGTGTATTCTTGTATTTTTGTTCGAGATAAAATCTCCCCGGAGGACCTTCCAATTATTATCAAATTATGTGTCAGTTTGTCCGGGCTTATTAAAAATTTAAATTAAATATTCAACATGGGCGGAGATGGTTAGTGACTCGTCAAACACCGGGTCAACAAAACTTTCACCGGATAATTCCGAAAGTGGGATCCAGAGGTGTCAATTGGCTCCTAATGGGAAGCGCGTCGGCTGGAAATGAAATGCTACGGTCGGACCCTTGACCTCCATTGTCCACGCTGCATAATGAACCACAACGAAGTGCGTATGAGGGCAGACTGTCTTCTTTTAAAGTCAAGTAAATGGCATTCGGCGACTATTTATATGGGGCGCCCACATGCAAAGTTGATTTATTGAATTACGATTCTGTATTGTGACGCAAAATCATGTTTTATTACAAGGCTTAATGAAATAATTAAAACACAACTCTTGTATCTGTTTATGATTTGTTGAACAGATTCAATGAAATATAGCAATTTTTTAGAAAACAAAGGAACAAAGAAAAAGCCAAAGGTTTAAAATGATTAACTTCAAACGATATTTATAATAAATAAAACACTGGATCGGATCTACTGTCTGACTTTCGGTCATTACATAAGGCGGAAGAGCTTACTGGCCTCTCTAAGTCGCTGATAAAGTGAAATTACATAGGAAATAAAAATGAAGTCTTACCGACAGGAAATAAAAATTTATTTTTATTTATTCTGGTCTTATTAGAAGAACAATTAAAATAATTATTTTTACGACGATATATAGGGTGTCCTTTTCAGAAGGCCCGGCTAAATTTCTCTTGAACCAATGACGCTATAAAAAAAAAAAAAATACCTGGACACCCTGTATATCTGTTAAGGTCCTAAGAATATACAGAACTGTATCCAGTAAAATTTAAATTATTTCAATTTTTACTTTCATGTTTATTGAATGTGAGCATCCTATTATCATAAAAATTTCATGAGCGTTAAAGTTTCCATTTGTTTGTAAAACGAAGAAAGCGAGGATCTGTAAGGTATGTTTCTGAATTATAAAAGCGCCTCGTCCCTTTTCTCAGACTGGTAAGGGGAAAGTCGCAATTAGTAAAATATTGTTCTATTTACACGAACCCTCAGGAGGTGGGCTGGTAAAAAACCGTCTGTCCAAATGGAAAATACCCGAATCACGTCCTGAGAATGAGCAAAGGGTTGTTTCCAGGCACAAACGGCTTCGAGAGTGAACTAGTACAAAAACACAAGGGGGAGAGAATTCCCATCAGGGTAGTTCGGCCGACCTTCGGGCTGAAGGATTAAATCCAGATGGGGTGCTCATGCCTCCAATTAACTTCATTATCCCTTCATTTCTGACTTATAATCTTTTTACCCCCGCGACGATTGAAATTGCCGCTGTGAAATGAGAAGCGGTGACTTTCTCTCCTCGACCGGTTCACCTGAGATGCCCCTTTGCGACAAAAGGATGGTAAATTATTTCCAACTTCCTTCCACCCTATATTTCATGGACGGCCGAGTACTCTTTCCGTTTAGAAATGCAGGAAATATTTTAATGGCCCACATCCCCGGCCAGGAAGAATTAATGCAGCATCCTTAAATGATATCACAGGTGGGTAGGAAATATTAAAAAAATAACTCGTCCTATTGAAAAACGCAAGTTATTAAAACGACTAATCTAAATTTCAATAGACGTATTGACCTAAAAATGCATCCTATTGTATTTATTAATGACAGAATAATTTTACGATTTGTAAACACTACTTCTGAATTCTTTGAATAACTGTAAAAAAAAAAAAAAAATTCATTTATAAACCCAAGTTATTGTTTAATAATTTCTATTTTGCTATGTTAAAAAACAATTGTGAGAAAAGTCAACAAAATTATGCGCTAGGTTAGTCTCTCTCTCTCTCTCTCTCTCTCTCTCTCTCTCTCTCTCGCGCTCTCTCCCTCTCTCTCACTCTCTCTCACTCACTCACTCACACACACACACGCGCGCACACGCACACGCACGCACGCACACACACACACACACACACACACGCACGCACACACACGCACACACGCACGCACACACACTCACTCACTCACTCACACACACACGCACACACACACACGCACACACGCACGCACGCGCACACACTCACTCACTCACTCACTCACTCTCTCTCTCACACACACACACACAGAGTAACATGACTATCATGACTTTTGTTGACTTTAGTAATGCTTTTAATAGTATAAATCACAGAATCTTAATAGCAATCCTGAAATCAATAATTTATCCGATAAAGTAATTAACTGTTTCACAAATATTTAACAAACAGAAGTCAGATGATAAAAACACAGGATGGTTAAGTTTCTGAAGAAAAAATCATTAATCATTAATCAAAAATCATTAATCATTAATCCACAAGGGTCTATTTTGTCAGCGTTGTTGTTCTCGCTGTATATTAATAGAATATATCAAACTTTCAATATTGTTGTAAAGTTATATTATATGCAGATGATCTAAATGCTTATATCGATGCAAAAGATAATATTAACGAACAAATCGAAAAAAATAAATATTGATTTTATAAAAAATAAAATTTGTAATATTGAAAGAGTGGAGTAATAACCATATGTTAGCATTAAACCCGACTAAATGCAAAGCAATAATTTTTGGTCATAATAAATTATTAGAAAATTAAGGTTTTTAGTTGAGATAAAAAACTCAATGGCACGAGCGGGATTCGAACCCACGATCTTCGGCTTGATACGCCGCTGCTCTACCACTTGAGCAATCGTGACTTCGATCCGCTCGGACATTAACTTCCCATTTCAACCGCACTTTTTTGAATTTTCTCTCCTTTTTGCCATTTTTCAAATGTCGTGTAATCGGATTGGATTCTCGGCGACAAATGAAATGGCCACGGAGAGCTTTAGTGAAGTATACTTCATTTTAAACTTATTAAATTCAGTAGTATCGTGGTCCGTTTGACCAATTAATATATTACAATTAATTAAGGCTTTTTAGTTGAGATAAAAAAAGTCAAAGGCACGAGCAGGATTCGAACCCACGATCTTCGGCTTGATACGCCGCTGCTCTCCCACTTGAGTTATCGTGACCTTGATCCACTCGGACATCAACTTCCCATCTCAACCACTCCTTTCGAATTTTCCCCCTTTTTTGCCATTTTTCAAATGTCGTGTAATCGGTTTGGATTCTCGACGACAATTGAAATGGCGACGGAGAGCTTTAGTGAAGTATACTTCATTTTATTAAATTCACTAGTTTCGTGATCCGCTTAACCAATTAATATATTACAATTAATTAAGGTTTTTTAGTTGAGATAAAAATGTCAATTGAACCTTGATGATGTAAATAAAATTAAAATTGATAACATCTTTTTAAAATATGAAGAAAATGTAAAACGTCTGGGTTTAACGCTTACCCAGAATCTATCATGGGATATACAGGTGTTAAAAATCAAAAATCAAATCTACTCAAACTTACATAGATTTATAAATTTTTAAGTTTTTCAAAATACAATGTTAATATCAAAAAACAACTTGTATCAACTCTAAATCTTTCCACACATAACTTATGGTCTAGGAGCAATGTATGACTTAAATCGAACACAAATCAACAAATTGCAAGTAGGGTTCAACATGTGTATCTATGACAGTTGTATATATATTCAATTAATTAAGGTTTTAAGTTGAAATAAAAAAGTCAGAGTCATGAGCGGGATCGAAGTCACGATAGCTCAAGTGGTAGAGTAGCGGCGTATCAAGCCGAAGGTCGTGGGTTCGAATCCCGCTCGTGACACTGACTTTTTTATCTCAACTTAAAACCTTAATTAATTGAATGTTATTAATTGGTCAAGCGGACCACGGAAAATAGTGAATGTTGTATATATAACAAGTTTTCGCAATTCAAATTTCTCAAAATTAAAGATTTAATCGATTACAATCTCTCATGTAAAGTTTTTAAAATTCTAAGCATTCAAAAACCAAAATATCTATGTGAAATTTAATTACATGTCTCAGATTGATGATCGAAATACTAGGTTTACAAACTATCGTCTGCGTGTAGTTAAGCACAAAACCACAACTTTTAATAGGTCATTCTCAGTAAAAGGTGCAATAACGTTTTCGAGAATCCCTACACACATAAAACGATGTAAAAATATCAAAGCTTTCCAGAATCGTCTTAAAAATCATCTGTTCTCTAGTTATGATTGATGTCTCAAATTTAACTTCTTTTGTTGTTTTGTATTTTGTGTTTTTTTATATTACTATTTAGTGAGTAAAGTTTTATTTGTAGATTTATATTGGTGGTTAAATGGTAGAACTAGTATACAAGTTGTCAGCAGTATATGGTTTCTTCTGTAAATATGAATATAGTTTGATCGTATTTCTTTATTATATGTTATATTTGGTTTGTCGAGTTATGTCAATATAAAAAATGTACAATTTTAGTCTAGTTGATATACGTCGGTGGAGAAAAAACAACGAAATTCCCTTGTTATCTCCGTGTGATCGCAGAGAGAAAAACCTAGGTCAAAATATCCTTGTTTCTCTTCAGACATACCTACCTTTCCTCTCCTCTTATTAGCTAGGCCCGACATTGACCCTCCGGAATTACAGTGTAGTCTATTGGTACTTCTACGGTAGTATTATGATAAACAGCCTCGTTGACTCCGAGTTCATAGGAGCCGCCTTTTCCAGTATAGCTTTCACACACTTTGAAAATAAAAGCTTCAAAATGGAATTCGACAAGGCGTGTAGGACCGTACTTATGCAATAAGATTGGAGGAGTCGAATAACAGGCATATCCTTGTTTATTCAGGAAACAATAAAACATAATTGAAATTTGGGAAGTGCTATTTGTTGAGCTCAACGGGGTGTTCTTCGGGTTGAGTTGGTGCGCCTTCGTCTTTCAGCTTCTCTTCTTCGGATGGTTCTTCGAGGTGAAGGCTCTTCATACAGTTGGCCTCCCCGGCCGAAGAGACTTTAGAAGCGTTTGCTCCGCCGAGGTCCATCAAGTGGATCTTTTGCTTAATGGCGTCGAGAATCTCTGTGCTTTTCTTGTTTACTTCTTCCTAGAATATTCCTCTTATAAACTTTTCCTCTCTATTTTTACTCAGTACTTACTCTGTTGGGGATATGGTCTTTAGATTTGGCCAGCTCTTTGTCCAGGAGGGCCGCGGCGCCCTTTTGTGCCTGTTCGATAATCGACGCGACTTCCTGGTCGTTCATGTCCATTCCGAGTCTGCCGAGGATGTTCTTCCAATCTGCGAGCTTGTTCACCAGGTCGGGATTCGCAGCGAGCACTTCGTGCATTGCGGCTACGCTCTCAGGAGTCCAGTAACTGAGAGAAAACGCCTGGACAAAGCTCTGTAACAAGTAAAAACAATAAATAAATAAGCACCGCTCGCTAATATTCCACAGTAAATATTAGGAAACAAAGCAAACAAGAAGGCGTAAATTAGGTCAATAAGAGTTGTTCCCAAAGGCCAGAAGCTATGTAAATTATTGTGATGTCCTTTATCCCATGAAGGAATAAGGTCTGGTTTCCTGAATATTCTACCCTAGCAACGACACTGAGGTGGCAAAGATGCAGCAGTGAGTGAAATTATCATCTCTCAATAACAATATAAGATGGAATCGTGCTTTTTAATTTAAAAAAGTTGGGTCACAAAATAAATAGGGCTTAGGGCCTAAGAGTGGGAGAAACTTCGTAAGTATTAAGGTATCGCTGTCATCGATAGGAAGAAAAGAAGAAACGGAATTGTTTCACCTAGTTTGATGATCGGGCTTGTAAAACCACCCAAGGTCATCTAATGGCACGTGAATTGGCTTCCATACGCAACATGTGGTTATGAAATTGTAACCACTAAACACCTTTACTTACATGTAAAGTTTACGATCAACAAATTATTTCAGGTGTTATCTATTACCATCTATGCTAATATAGTAAGGCAATAGTCAAACTTGTATATATTTTTAACTTCAACAGAAATAATCTAATTCTTAAAATCTGGAAAATTACGTTGCACGCAATGCCTTTGTTACTTGCTGCTTAAACAGATTTAAATATAAAGAAATTAGTTATTAAATCCATTATATTTCGTGGTCCGATTGACCAAATAACTTTTTTAAATTGATTAATCTTTATGTAAGGTATTGTTTCAAATGATAAAGCTAGTGTCAAGAGTGGGATTCGAACCCACGACCTTCGGCTCAATATGCCGCTGCTCTTCCACTTGAGCTATCGTGACTTCGATCCACTCGGACACCAACTCCCCATCTCAACCTACAACCTTTCGAATTTTCCCACCATTTTGCCATTTTTCGTCGTGTAATCAGGATTCGGTTCTCGGCGACATATGAACGATGGCAATGATGATAACACGACATTGAGACGGTTGAGATCGGTTGACATATAACTTTTGTTCCAAGGGCTTTTTCAAAAAAGTGAACAGGGAAGCGCACAATCGATACGAAAATCACCTAGTAAATGGAAAAATTATTCGGCCGTCGATAATTCACAATCTTGCGTAAAAAGCTCCTTTATAAAAATGTAACCATGAAGAAATCTGGAGATTTGCAACTAGGTGGCCATATTAACCTCCGGCGTTCTGTTCTTTTTGAAGAAAAAAAAATCATTTGGTAGTACATTGGGTTCAAACAATATGTTTAAACAGATAATTCTCAATTATCGCCCAAAATAATAATGATTACTGTAAGTACAAGATCAAATTTTGTCAATACCGTTATTGCCCAAATAACCTCCATTAAGGTTAAAAGGAATCGGCCTCCTTACGACTTTACCCGCTATTGCATTGACTAAAATTGATCTATTGTGCAATATGCATTATTATCTAGAACTCTTCGTAAAATTTAAAAAGGCTTTCTATCAGACCGAAAGCTTTGTTAAAAAGGTCTGCCGTGTATATCATTCAAGGCTGAGACCACTTCAACTTAGGACTTCACGGAAAAATAAGGGACATGTTCTGCTTTTTCTTCTTCCTGGCAAAATCTTCACAGGCTTGTTTCTGCTTCTCAAAGTATAAACAGGTGCCTCCAGCATCTGCAGTGTATAGTCAGCAGTCCTAATATCATTCTAGCCTAAACACTTCCAAGGTTTAGTTCTGCCGTTATTTTTTGCGATGGTCCTTGGATGAATTTTTCACATTTGTCCTAGATTACAATCCCATTTAATAGCCTCAACCTGAAAGACAATGGCATATTACCGAAGCTAGTCCTTAATTTTAATCCTAGATAGCTCCTGGCGTATGCTAGTTTTTGGAAGCTTTGTATACCAGGTATAGTCGACATTTACTAGAATCCATAATATTTATTGGTCTATTGACCAAATTACTTCTTTCATTTAATTAATGTTATTATGTGAGGTTTGGGTTGAAATGAAAAAACCAGTGTCACTAGCGGGATTCGAACCCACGATCTTCGGCTTGATACGCTGCTGCTCTCCCACTTGAGCTATCGTGACTTCGATCCACTCGGACACCAACTCCCCATCTCAACCTACAACCTTTCGATTTTTCCCTCCATTTTGCCATTTTTCAAATGTCGTGTGATCAGGATTCGGTTCTCGGCGACATATGAACGATGGCAATGATGATAACACGACATTGAGACGGTTGAGATGGGGAGTTGGTGTCCGACTGGATCGAAGTCACGATAGTTCAAGTGGTTAGAGCAGCGGCGTATTGAGCCGAAGGTCGTGAGTTCGAATCCCACTCGTGACACTAGCTTTTTCAAACAATACCTTACATAAAGATTAATATATTAGTTATCTTAAGCTATCAGTAGTCAACATAACCAGGATATTTGGAGTTCAGACCATTGTTCCAATATTATTCAGATTTATAATATTTTGTTTAATAATTATTTCATTCAAGAATATATCTATTAAGCAAACATGATAGCCTTGTATATTATTAACTGCTTGGTCCTACAAATTGTAACAAATGCATTATCTCTTCCGTACATTCTTGCCCCTTTTTTAATTGTCAAAATGAAAGGAGGCGGATAAATTACAGACAGACTCGAAAACCTAAATGAATGGGCGAAATGGTCTTTTTCACATGGCATTCACAAAGCCCCTATCCAAACAAGCGCATTCAGCCATTGACAATGCGAGAGGATCTTGAAGCAGGATGGGAACAAAACGTCCCTCAGAAGCCCACGCTTCCTCCGAAAGGATCTCGATGAGAAATCAATGTTTCAAAGGGTCTAGAGACCCAATTACGCTTAAACACGACCATGATTTTCTGCAGCCTCTCTAGAAAAAATAGAGTGAGAGGATAAAAGAGTTTTTGATATTTAGGGGTGAGGTTTCTTTCAACTTTCCAATCTTATTGTTAACGTTAATTATGGTTACCTCCAGTGAGATGTTTCCGTTCTCGTCAGGCTCCATGATATCTACGAGACAGTTCGCCATCTCGTCGCTGTACAGAGGTCCGAGTACAGACTGGAAAAACTGAAGCAATTTGCTCTTGTGGACGAAACCCTGTCCGTCGGGCCAAAGAAGTGCGAAAGCCTCTTTGTATTTCTCGACGCCTCTTTCGCACATCTTCTCGGAGAAGGAAGCCAGGTCGAACTCCTGGTCTGACACCAGGCCGGGGACGGGCTCAATTTTGACTTCGGTCGCTTCCACCTTCAGGCTCGCCGTGTTGTCGCCCTCCTCCTCTTTCGGACTGGATGATTGGCCGTTCGGTGAGCTCATTTCGGTATATTCTGGGGGAAAAATTAAAAAATCACAATTAAAATACTAATTGCATTCTTACAAATTATCAGTACAAAATTGTCAAACATAAGTACTAAAGCTAACCATGCTAAAAAAAATATAAACATATCTAACTAAAGAGAATGTAATGATGCATTATATACCAAGTTTTCAACTAAAGGTAGATTGTGAAATCATGGTAAGGTCTAGTGAACTAATCTATAATTTCTTCGATCATCCTTGTCTTCCTATTCTCGCTATTTTGTCAGACCAGTTCTGGTATTTAGCCATTCACAATGAAAGAAGTAATAATTGAGTAACCATGACGTCCAGTCATTGAAGAGTCTTATATGCAGAAAGAATGCAAGAGGACAAAATGCAACATCTACAAGCTGGTTTTGTTTGGAAACTCATTTCGTCATATTTATTGTTGATAAATAGATGGTTTTGTCAACATGTGCAGACAGACCAACCATTGAAGATGATGAAATCCATTCCTGCCAAATTTTAACTACATTGTACACTGTGAAATAACACTGAGGTCAGAAAGTTGATGAACCTGTAGATTGATCGTATCCCATCGTAGGTTGGGAGTTATCTGCCTATCTCGCTGATTTTTGTCAAACGTGTTTGAGATATCGCCATGTGTATGCCAGTTCCTTATCTAAAACACACAGACTAACTATTGAAAATGTGTCTCATAGACAAAGCCAGCAAGTAAGCGGAGCAAGATGGAAGCATCAAATTCTCTTTTCCAGTAATATTTTTGGTGTAGAGAGCAATCGTAATTTCATTTATTTTAACCTGAGCTGACTTAACTATTAGATAATTATGACTAAACTAAAATTGTACGTGTGTGGTCAAGTTGGCGTAAAGTTTCAAACAGCGGAAAGACAACTGTCGTCACTTCACCAGACAGATTCACGGACAATTTTATTTACGATTTTTACAAGAAAGTTCGATAAGATCGGCTTTTAACAACTTCCCCGCTTCCCAAATTACTTCCTGGGGCGTGTTTTACGAGGGGAGGTCAGATAGATAGCTTTGCCTATGAGGAAAAAAGTGACAAGTACGACACTTCAATGGTCGGTCGATTTGTTTTGAAGGGTGTCCCATGGGGCATCAATTTCGGCCTTAACCCCATTGTCAAAGGGAGACGAGGGACAGGAAAGGGTGTGACCAGGGCAGATAATTTTTTAAAAGAGTAGCTGGTGTGCAAGAAATTTTAGCCGAGTCAGCAACTGTCTGGCAACGACAATCCTGCGCTAGGTCTGCAGGTTAAACCTTGTTCTGAAATGAATCGCACAAATTGCATATTTTATTTTCGGATTGTCCTGATTAATGTCAGATCTACGTTATATAGGGATGAAAAATAATCTAATTTGTTTTTAAAAATGTGTATAAATTTTTTTGCGAGCGGAACCTACCTCTATTGCGGTCTGAAACCCTCAAGGGGTAGAAAAACACGGAAAACATAAGATTTATACTTTTTTGGGACCATGGAGATGGCTGTCACTGAAAAGAAATTGTTCACAGTCGGCTGATCACACGTGAGTTATGTGCCTAACCAGGAACCAGACTCACAGGTAGGCCGACGGTCAGATTTCATCCTTAAAAAATCTGCACAAAAAATCATTTAACTTCAGAAAATGTCCGTGAGTAACGAGGAATTCCTCTCTTTAATCCTCAAATATTTAATGCATTTTCAAAGTCGGTTATTCCTTGCCGGCCAGAGGTCAAAACCAATTCAGACAACGACGAGCCCTCCTTCAGTGGCAGAGGAATGTAATTTATGAACGGAGATTTTTATGCCCTTTTTTACAACCGTGCTTATACATTTTTAATATGCGCTCTGTTTACGAACGACATATCTTAACTATCGAGCTTATCTAAAATGGCAACGTATTGACATAAAGAGGTTTTATCGCTATCGGAATTCTTAGGCATAGGTCAATGGTAAAATCGCATTTTTTAGAACCAGAATATTAAAAGTGGGATTTCTTTCAACTTGTGGTTTGTTGCCCGATGTGTCAAAATTTCACACGGCATCTGTTTTCTTGTCTGTTATCAACCGTACAACCAAGACAAACAACGTAATAATAGTACATTCATAGGCATTGTAAATGACAATTTGTTCGGAAATATTTGCAACGGTTTCGCCTTTATGCTGACCGTTTCCCACGTGACTTAAACCGTCGGCCACCCGATGCGAGCCCTCACTCAAGTCGGACGTCGGCATTCCATTAGTTTGCGGGCCCCATTAGAGCGGTTCACTTGACCAAAAAGTTCAAAGTGGCTCATTAGACCAGGGCCGATTTTTGGCCTGAAACGTCGCCAAAAATATTAGAGCCTTTGAGAAAATTAAAGACGATTTGCACCTGCTGCCTTTAGAAGGTATATGCGACGATACTGCCACACCAAAAAAATTGTACCCGCATAATCATTTTAAAAATTCATACGGCCTAATTAACTTTCAAAAACCGCGATTAAAGAAGAATTTGGATTTCCAGCCGATTTATACAAGCAGATCAGTAATCTGTTTAATTTAAGAATATTTCTATAGTAACATGACTATTTGGACAAACAATTTTTACTGGGTAAATAAAACGACATCATAAACCATTCAAACAAAGCAGCTCAACTTGATACAAAATGTAACATTTTATCAGGATGCTGCTGATGATGTCGAAAAATTAGGAAGCGTGGGGTTTTATTTTCCCAACCTGCAGAACCTTCTGGCTTATTACACTTTGCCTAGTTCCTCAGTTCAGTTCAATTGACTCCTTACTTCTGCTAAGAAGATTAGTCATTGGCTGACGTTACTGTAATATTTTTCCTTGGGTCTTCTTGATATCCTCCATTGAGCGGTTGCTTCGCAATCGAAGGTAATTTGGCTAGCAGTTTCTTAATCTTCATGGCTAACCTCAAAATGTTGTCAGTGCTGAATATACCCACGAGGTGTAGGTTTTTTCTCTGATGCTAGAGAACGGTGATGATCATAAAAGGATACTAGAAAACTACGGTTTATCATGCTCTGCAGCCTTTTGGCTTATTGTATGCTTCGTATTTATTTAGTTCAGTTCAATTGACTATATCGTTCTTTTAAGAAGTAGGTTATTGTTGCAATACTTGTTCCTAGGTCGTTGTGTTACCTAGGTTACGTCTCTATCCAAAGAAAGTAGTGGTGGTGGTTTCTTTCTCCTAGTTTCTTGTTATAATTATTAAACTGAACAAATGAAAATTTTATAAGAATATATCGGCCAATAATTAATGGAAATATTTAGTAATATAGCACAAATTTTTAAATATAGTTGTCTATAGTCTATATATTCAGCTCATGACTTCTTTCCTGTTTACAAACCATTCCGCTCAAGTAGGGTACGGAGTACTTGAGTACTTGATATTCCTCTATTACCCTTTTCACATACTACATAAATAATCTAATTGAATGTCGGTATTCCACAATAAGCCCTCCCACACTACACATTCACTCTAACAAATATACTCAGACTCAATATACACAAAAGGGAACTCAAAAGGACTACCAGTACTTATATTATAGTATTTCCTTAAAAAATCGGAACATAGGACCCAAATACTTGCTGCCTTCATTTTATCCTATCACGTCATATCACTCGTTTTGATTATTTCAATCACATAAATACCTAAATTACAACCACAGGTAATAACCATTATAAATATTAAATCCATTATATTTCGTGGTCCAATTGACCAAATAATTTCTTTCAATTATTTAATCTTTATGTAAGGTATTGGTTGAAATGTAAAGTTAGTGTCACGAGCGGGATCCGAACCCCAAAGCCGAAGCTCTTGGGTTCGAATCCCGCTCGTGACACTAACTTTTTCATTTCAACCGATACCTTACATAAAGATTAATTATAAATATTGTTGTATTGATTACATTACATCTTAAAAACATTATTAATTAATAACTATAGAAAAGTATAACCTTGTCTTTACTTTCTCCTAAAAATATAAACCTGTCATTTGAAATCTACGATAAAAATTGTATATATAAAATTGTATATAACTATAAATTTATTTATAACCCTAAATATGTAAAGATTCAATTTGGTTTACCATAAGTCATGAGTTTATAACCATAAAATACATCAGAAACCACGATTAGCTGTAATTTAACATAAATTTTTTATTTAAATTTTTAAAAAACATTCAAGCAATTTATTACATTAGGCCAAACTATTACTCAAGATCGCTGGATCAATGTTCTTGAAGAAAAAAGCAAAATTCAGTTGTTACTGCCAAGCTTTCGACCTACTTTAAGGTCATCATTAGGGCAACACAATTTTAAATATGTCTACAGATGGACATGTTTAAGGTTTTTTGTTGAAAATTGAAAATAAATGAGCTCTTTAAATACTAAACTCAAGGGTAAGGACGAAAAGTTGACTTTATCGAATATTGTACATAGGTTCTTGTGTAGTGAAAATCCAAGCATTGGTCATTGTTCAAACAAAACATAGAATAAAAATAGAATTCATGGTCATTGTTTCTGATTGTGACAATTAATCAAGAACTGATACCGAACTATTGAAACATTAACTGAAAATTATTTTTCGAATTTTGAAATAATCGACAAATAGACACGATTACTCAGACGAAGACTAATAGAGATCCTAAATACTAAAATGGAAAATAATTATTGTAATATTCAAACATATACTATAAGCTTAAGGTCAATTTATGAGGACTTAATTTTAAAAAAAGGGTTTAGATAACGAGAGGAGAACAGGGATAAAGTTGTACTACTGTAAGTCGTTGGCAATGTTACCACAGAGTCGGTCTTCAAGAAAATTTGAGATCCCCTGTAAAAAACTTAAATATGTCCATCTGTAGGCAAATTTAAGATTGTTCTGCCTTGATGATGACTTTAAAGCTTGGGAGTAACAACTGAATTTGCTTTTTTCTTCAAGACCATAAATGATCCAAAATTTTCGTGAGTGAAAAGTGGTTGATTTTTCTGCTAGCTCTGAAAACTATTACTTGTGTGGTGATTAGTGACCTTTAATCGATAATTATTCAGAAATCGTGAGATGCGATCTGGTGTGATAGGTCTCAGAAAAACATTTTCTTTATCGTGCCAACGTTTCGATCTTTATTGAGATCATCTTCAGGGCTCAAAGTGTTTGTCTTCTGTGTAATTGTGCCATNCGCAAGAATGGCACAATTACACAGAAGACAAACACTTTGAGCCCTGAAGATGATCTCAATAAAGATCGAAACGTTGGCACGATAAAAAAAATGTTTTTCTGAAACCTGTCACACCAGACCGCATCTCACGATTTCTGAATAACTATTACTTGTAATCGTCAAAATCAAAAGGCTCTGACTCTTTTTCAGAAACACACTTTCAAAAGCAAATTGGACCGTTTAACTGTTTATTTTTTACCATTTTGTGATTTGAAAGAACAGAAAATTTAAATCTGAGAAGCTAGACTGTAAGAAAAAAATTTCTTGCAATCTTCCAGTTTTTTAAAAAGATTTTTGGGTTTTTCATTTGTTATAGTGGCAAATAAATTCAAATATTCTACTGAGCAAAAATAATAATAGTTAATCTGGAATTATCATGAAAATTTGGTATCTTTTGAAAATTTAAATATAAAAAACAGCGTAGTGTTATGATGTTGGTTAGCAATGTACTTACTATTTTCCAAATACTTTTCCCTTGATTTGATTGGATAATGCCCTACTCAAACTTTCATGCCCGAAACTTGCGTAAAGACTCGAAAAAACACACTGATCGACTTTTGTTATATCATTCCAAAACACATGTGCCGGTTCTGATTTTTTTTGTTAAATAAATAATCTCGCATCTGGCAATTTTACCTACACACGAATAAAACAGAGCATTCACATTTTGACCGATATCAAATTGGTTGAATGGAAATTAGCAAGTGCGGGCCAAATTAAAACGTTCCTAGAAAGCCTCGACATGCAAGGAAGTGTAACACGAGCAGTTTTGCCTGTCAAGTCCTGTCCCGTCAACAATAACGGCTGATATAAATAGGATGTCTTTCAACTGAGGAAAAACAAGCTTTTCATTTTCTTAAATCAAAACAGGGGAGATGGAAACTTTTTAACAAGGCAATGTCCTTTGCCGCTTAAATCGTTTATACACTCCCAATAAAATAGTGTTGTCTTTAAACTTTTCGTTCCCTTTTTTAAATTTCAAATTAATAATAATACTTATTCAGGAGTTACAACAAAGCATAGTTAGCTAGATATTTCTTGGTTCAGGAAGTCTTTTTCCTTTACAACCCACAGTCTATGTTCATTATAACATAAGGATGACAGTTTTGTCTATCAAATTATTCGGTTCGAGAGAAAAATAATAAAACGCCTCAATCATATTGGGTATAGCTAGATCTATCATCACATGAATAAGACAATAAGTATTATTAACAAAAAGTACTGGTAAGGATGTTTCATAGCTGGTTTGCATTCAGAAAATGATGTTTTCTCATTTAATATAACTAATATCACAAATTAATATTATGATGTTGTTACTTACAAATAGTTATCTGTCAGGTAGAAAATTTTATATCCAGGTACTAGGTACATTCATTCTAAAGGGAGAGGCATTGGAGTCCCACATGGCTCCGTGCTGGGTCCTACATTATTTAACTATTATAGGTTATATTTTTCACCGGGAAAATTATAATCTATGACAATTGTGCTTATTAGATTGTAAAACGCACCTAATTAAGGAATCTTTTTTAAAAAAAATTAAAACCTTCTTCGTAGTGCATACCAGTAGAACTACACTGCCCATAAAAAAACCTACCTCCTGGGTTTTGCACGAAAAAATTGCCAATTTTGAAAATGCATATTTTCTCTTTGGTCTCATTTTTTAGAAAATTTTACACTGAATAAGATGGCTTTTTAAAGGTTTCCCTAGCTTCAGTCATCAGTAAATTCGAAAATGCGGGGACATGTTAATTTTTGCATTTTTTTCGAATTCTTCAGATTAAGCTATGGAGCCAGGAAATCGTACAAGAGCTGCGCCCAATAGCAATCGATAGGAGATTTTTTTAATTGTTCACCTTTCACTTTGCCCGATTTCACAACCATTTTCGAGTTATTCGCTATTTTTGGGCAAAAAACGTACGTGCTCATGGAAAAACCGATCACTCTCTCTTTCCCGATTTTCAAGAATGCATAAGTTTTGAACCGTCGTGTTATCGCAGATTTTACGTTCTACAATTTTTGTTCCGAGGGCTTTTTCAAAAAAGTGAACAGGGAAGCGACAATTCTTACTTTTTCTTACTTTGACCTTTTGGGATTTCGATAACCACTTGTTTACCTCATCACGGAAATTCAACTTTTCCTTTTTCGTCTTTTTCTCCAATCAAGGCACAATCTTTTTGGAAATCAACCACCAATCGTTATTATTTTGTGCACAATCGATACGAAAATCACCTAGATAAATGGAAAAATTATTTGGCCGTCGATAATTCACAACCTTTGCGTAAAAAACACCATTATAAAAATGTAACCATGACGAAATCTGGAGACTTGCAACTAGGTGGCCATATCAACCTCCGGCGTTCTGTTTTTTTAAGAAAAAAAAATTTGGTAGTACATTGGATTCAAACAATATGTTTAAACAGATAATTCTCAATTACCGCCCAAAATAATAGTCATTACTGTAAGAACAAGGTCAAATTTTATCAATACCGAATCATTGCCCAAATAACCTCCATTAAGGTTAAAAGGAACCGACCTCCTTACAACTTTACCCGCTATTGCATTATTATCTAGAACTCTTCGTAAAATTTAAAAAGAACTTTTTTCAGACCGAAAGCTTTGTTAAAATGGTCTGCCGTGTGTATCATTCAAGCCTGAGAGAACTTCAACTTAGGACTTCACAGAAAAATAAGGGACATGTTCTGCTTTTTCTTCTTCCTGGCAAAATCTTCACAGGCTTTTTTCTGCTTCTAAAAGTATAAACAGGTGCCTCCAGCATCTACAGTGTATAGTCAGCAGTCCTAATATCATTCTAGCCTAAACACTTCCAAGGTTTAGTTCTGCCGTTATTTTCTGCGATAGTCCTTGGACATTTCTCCTAGATAACAATCCCATTTAATAGCCTCAACCTGAAAGACAATGGCATATTACCGAAGCTAGTCCTTAATTTTAATCCTAGATAGCTCCTGGCGTATGCTAGTTCTTGGAAGCTCTGTATACCAGGTATATTCCACATTTACTAGAATCCATTATATTTAGTGGTCTATTGACCAAATTACTTATTTCAATTAAATAATCTTATTATGTGAGGTTTGGGTTGAAATGAAAAAAAACCAGTGCCACTAGCGGGATTCGAACCCAAGACCTTTGCTAAATACGCCGCAGCTCTACCACTTGAGCAACCGTGACTTCGATCAACTCAGACGCCAACTCCCCATCTTGACCTGCAACCTTTCGAATTTTCCCTCCTTTTTGCCATTTTTCAAATGTGTAATCAGGATTCGATTCTGGATTTACTAGAATATCTTTCTCTGCTCCGTCGGGTATTCAAATTGAATTTTTTTATGAAAATTAAATGCTGGGGTCATGACATCAACAGGCATCCCTAGAACATTATCTAACTGAAGTTCCTCCTGAAGCTTTAATTGCTCCTTCTTAAGCAAGTAGATTATGGGAGCTTTACAGCATTAGCTTGGATGAAGGAACCTTCTCAATAACAATCATCGCTAAGAAAACTATTAGCAATATTGGATCATGATCATACAAACTCTTGACAAAGAAAACAATGATTAATGATAATTTGAAGATCGTGAGATGGGGTCTGGTGTAGCGTAGGTTTCGAAAAACATTTTCTTTACCGTGCCAACGTTTCGATCATTATTGAGATCATCTTCAGAGCCTGGAATTTATAAACATTGTTTAAAATACACAAATACATGTACGATGCGAAAAAATGAATTTATACAATGATAGAAATTTTAGATACAAAGTATTAGGACTCACTCAAAGCGTTTGTTTTGTTAAGCATGTCCACGACTATAACCAAAGATAAAACACAATCGGCGATATAGTGACCATTCTAAGTAAATAAGGTAATCATAGTCATTTTATTATATGTGTATTATTAATGTGTTATGATGACTTATAAAAAAGTAGTTCACATATATTATAGGTACTATAGGTATACTATTATAGGTAATACCATATATTATAGGTTTTGAGGCAGGATCTTGTTTATAAATACCAACTCCAAAATTGGAGTCTTTAGTTCAGTTTGCATCGACGGGATATCGGACTAGCCTAATCCGGTTCAATTTCCAGAGTCATAAATTCATCTGGACGTATGGCGTGCTGCCGGGTTAGGAAAAATAAATCGATCCGTTTGTTTACCCATTTCCCACGAGCTTAGTTTCGCGTAGGCATTGCGGTTTCGCCAGGACGTGACCGTCTGCCCTCGGCCCTGCGTTTATACATAAGCCACAACTTCAATTGCCCGTCGAATTGCTCGGACCGGGGATCTGTTAATTCCAGGAATGCTCTTGCCAACCTGGCAGCTTCGAAAACGTGAAGAATCGAGTCCCTTGTCGGGCAAACGATACGTGACGTCAATTTCCGTTTTCCCTTTCAGCTATCGAGCTTGGGGTCCTTCCTTCATTGAGTATACCGGCTCCGTCGTATGCGATTAAAGTTCCCTCACGTACCTTTTATGACTAGTTTTCTACTCTTGTTCTTGTCTCGTCTTAAACGGATACGAACACCGAGCCGAAAATTGCTCCTGCCATATTATTTCAATCGCCGGTTCCTAAGGCTAGCACGTTAGAGAAGAAATTAGCAGATTAGAAATTATCAGCTCGATAGTAAAAAGCAAGAAGTGTTATGGCCACATTTTCTAGATTATTATGTTTTCTCATGAAAGATTGGTTATCAAAAAAGCCAGTCAAGTTTGTCAGCAGCGTGAAATTGAACACTATTTTTCTAATAACTTAAAATCTTACTATTCACATTATTACGCGAAACAGATTTTAAAGTTGAATAAATGACTTCCCAGTCCTGGTACTTGTTATCTCTGCAACGAACATCAAGTTGAGGACATCCTAGGTGCATCAGTAAACATTATTCATGTTCATTATATTTCGTCGTCCGATTGACCAAATAACTTCTTTCAATTAATTAATCTTTATGTAAGGTATTGGTTGAAATGAAAAAGTTAGTGTCATGAGGGGGATTCGAACCCTCGACCTTCGGCTAAATACGCAGCTGCTCTACCACTGTGTTGGTGTCCGAGTGGATCGAAGTCACGATAGCTCAAGCGCTAGAGAGTGGCGTATTTAGCCGAAGGTCCTGGGTTCGAATCCCCCTCGTGAAACTAACTTTTTCATTTCAACCAATACCTTAAATAAAAGATTAATTAATTGAAAGAATTTATTTGGTAAATCGGACCACGAAATATAATGGATTTATTATGCATTATGTTGGAGTTGTTTTATGAGACTTGTAGCCGTATTTCAAGCCAAAGTACTATCATCTGTTCAAAATTTCGAATTGAACTTGTAATGTTAAACAGTCAAGCGGAGTGTCTGGAAGACAATTTGAAAAACAAAATTAAGTCGCAATTGCTTAAAAGCGAAAACTGTTATTACAACATCTTCATGTTGAGCCGGCGATAATAAACTTTTCTCATTAAGAGCCGAGCCCTCGAGGCCCAGTGTACTTTAAAGCAATTAAGTCGTCTGGCACTAAAATCCGAGCCGGCACTAACCTTCTGCCAACCTGACCCTCCCAAGCAGTTTTGGTAACACAAAGGACGTGAGGGCCACATCTCTAGTTTTTAATGAGCCGTTGAAACCGGGTCAGGTTACAAAATGCGTCCTTCTCCGTTAAGGGACAAGTCCCGTGGAATCCGGAGCAGTTGAGCAACGGAGTTATCAGCTGAGAATAATCTTAAGAGGGCATGTAAATCACCGCCGGCCCGAGGAGATGAGCACAGAGCAAAATCATGGGCATGCTCACGGGACGGAAAACGT